ATCAACCTGAACATAATTTTATGACTCCCATGTGTATTTGTATTTTAAGAGATACAATTCTGCATGTCCTTTGAGACAAAATTACAAACTCTGTTTCCAGGAATGTATGTGTACCAGACACTTCTTGTATCCTACTACAAAGTCCCTCAGCCTTACTTCTTGCTCAAGCCACCACTGCAGCAACGAGGCCCTAGCAGGCTTTGACCACCTTTCTGAAGATGTAACGAAACAGGGCCTCACCCCAGCCCCCACCCATACTTCTCTCTGGCTTCCTATCCTAGGACTTCAGTGATGCACTGGGCTCATACCCACACAATCTGGAAGTATGTGGGAAATAATGCTGTGGGACCACCCTTGACCAGTGAAGAATGGATCAAAGGAAGAGAAATACTTCCCCCTGGTATTCTCCTAGAAGACAGTTCTGAGACACATTTCATAAGGCTTTCAAAGGTCCTGTCACATGTAGCTATGGCCAGTTCTGTACTGCACCTACAAACTGGTTTTCCCTCCTTTCCAGCTCAAGTGCTCCATTCACTTACTGTGGCTCCTTGGGATCACTTCCCAAATAAATGAACTGCACAGAAGCCTTGCTTGCAGAAGAACCCCAAGCTGTTATATTACACAATGGAACAAACTGTGAATGTGAATCTACTTAGCTATAGAACTATTAATTATAGTGCTGTTTAAAATATAAAAAATTGAAAAGAACTTAAATGTCCAATAACAAGAGAAAAATGAAGTCAATTCTATAATATCAGTGAAACTGAATATTTTGCAGCTCTTAAAAGAGATACAGTAGACAAATATTTAATGACTTGGAAAAATATTTCTAACACATTTAATATAAAAAGCTAGTTTCTAAAAGAATCTACAGTATGACCCCTTTTTTGGGTAAACGCATGTGTACATAACAACAGACAGTACTAGAGGCTATACCACAATTGTTAATAGGGTTTGTCTCTGGTTAGGTGTGATACCAACATTTCCTATTTATTTTTATGTATTTGTTAGATTTTATGTATTTGTTAAGCGGTACATTTTCTATGTACCATTGAAATGGTCAAACATTATTTAAAAGAATGTCAGGGAGAAGCAAGTAAAGGAATGTCTTTCTGGATTTCTACAATGCTAGCAAATATAACAAAGGCTAAGGGGAGCTATATACGGACTGTGGCTTCTACAGGAAATACTACCCTCCACTCACTAGAGATTGCCTCACTTTGGCGTGTTGAAAGGCCTTTGGAGTCTGAACGACCTTTGATCATCAAGCCAGTGTTTTGTAGAACAGTCACCAGGCTCCACACGTTACTCTTCCTGTTCGGTGAACAGCAACAGCTTTAGAGTTTGGAGAAACATGAAGTAGAAGGACAGAGCCCCCTGATTAAATAAATCTAACTTAAAATGTTGTCATTTTGTAAAATAGGAAAAAAAAAAAACTTTTTTATTTGTATATGTTGATTTCCAACCAATGGAGACAAATATAAGCCTGCACATTTTATGCTTTCTGCAATGAACAAGGAAACGGGGGGAGAAGCCACCAATGATGAGTGAAGACACTGTAGAGCATAAGAAACAGAAGACACCAAGCCAAACAATTAGCATCCGTGTGACATTCTCACACCAGCTGCACATTTTAAAGTAAGATGCTTTCATCCTACTTCACATTGTTTGACAAGCCAAATTACATATAAGATGTTTCGCTTAGACAAGTATACTCCTTCTGCTTGGCTATTAGGATCTGTAGTTTATTTTCAGCTTGGGCATTTATTCCATAGGGAGAAATAATTTATGTAGTATGTCTTTCAAATCCTGAGCCATTAGCAGTTTGTTTAGTAGGAAGAGACTACCAAGGGTTCTGATTGCTCCATATACATATAACTTCCAGATAGCTAAGAAAACATGCAAACATGAAAAGACAGCTTTTGTTGTTGCTGTTGTTTTTGACTCAGCTAGCCGTAGCTATCCTGCAAGGGGGAGCTTGGGGAGGAGTGTGGGGAGGAGGCAGGCAAGGGTGATGCGTTTAGAAGATGAAACACTTAGTGACAAGAAAGGCAGATCTGGGTGGAGAGTCATGGTTGGATGCGCAGAGCAGAGGGCTGGGTTTTGCGGCCAAGGCGTAGGGTTTTGAGAGGTAGAAGTATGAATAAGGAGATGGCAGGATGCCAAGGACAAACATTTCCTGTGTCAAAACTCTGCACCGGGCCAGCCCCCTACATCCCAGAAAGAGGAAGGAAACTCTCTTCCTCCTTCGTTCCTGTACCCCACATGCAACCTCGCCTGCCTCCTCCCAACACTCCACCCCTAGGAATAGGTATGTCCTAGAGTTTAAAAAAAACAAAAACAACAACCTCCCCCCACACAAAAAACTGTCTTATTAGCTCATATTAAAGGCTAATAACACAAGATCTTCCAGAATAAATCCCTTCTAGGGGTTTTTAACATTTTAAGAGAGGTTGACTTTTAAGCAGAATACAACTGCAATTGGTGGAATTTCCAATGTTATAATTAATGAAGTAGAAAAGCAAAGGTAGTATGGAGAGAACAAATTTGGGGGCAAAGCGGCCTCAGGCAGACTGAAAGCCATCTCTCCTACACTGTCCTTTTTCCACTTGCTACTTCTACTACTTTTAACCCAAGGTTTCTCTTAAAAGTCCAACTTATTTGACAGTGGCTCAAATGGATAATGAAGACACCACCTACCTTTCAAGGTTGCTGAAAAATTAAATGTCAGTCAGCCATTTAACACAATGCCTGGCAATGACCATGTAGTACATCAGCTCTGACTCAAGGCTTTTTTTCTTGGATTAAACATTCTACCCCATGTGAATGGAACAGCAAGATTTACTCTCTCCCGCATAAGAAGACGTTTTATCCCAGATCATTCACAATATAGATAGCTTCCTTTTTTGATCAAATATTCTCAACATAAAAGATGTAATCGGGAAAAATTTGCAAAAGAAGAAACATAGCATACAAAAATGAGAAATGTATTTGATGCCTCATTTGTTACCAAATAAATATAGAACCATGAGAGTTTATAACTACGATACAAAATGTTTTTACTTTTCTTTCTAGCACCTCCCAATTCAAACAACAAAATGTTTCCAGACAATATGTATTCAAACTAAAGTATAGTAAGCCTTGTCCCTTAGCATATTTTTGTTGTCCCTATAAACTAATCAACTCTCTTAGAAAATAAGGAATATTGATCAATAGATACCAAAAAATATAAACGTTCAAAACATTTGACCCTAAAATTATGTTTCTGAAAATCTACCTTGAGAAAAAAGTTCAAAAAATGGAACAAGATACGTAAGTGACTTTTACTTTAGCATTACTTATAAGAGTAGGAAAGAAACCAGAACTAACTAAAGATCTAAAAATATGGCAACAATTAAGTAAAATATGGTAAATCCACATGATGAAATGTTATCAGTAATAATAAAGACTAATAATGGCTTTAAAAATACTAACATTTCTAAAGTATTTGCTATAAGAAACAATCCTATTATAAAATTAAAGGGACTTGGCACACAGCTTTAACCTATCATCATATTAGAAAAATTTAATGGACAACAAGCTCCTCTGATCTCAGGAAACTTAGAAAATAAAACAATGTTGACACGAACAGAACGAACTACTGAACACTTCCACACCAAGTATTTTTAACACATAGTGGACATAGTAAAGAAAGTGTTCTACTGGTCTTTTTAATGACGGCTTGGCTCCTGCCCTTGCATCCTTCACTCCTACAGCTGGCAGCACTGGATCTATATCCCATCCTGTCTCTAGTCAGAGGAGACACGTATCCATTAACATGCTAAACTGCAGTAAACCCTTACAATGCCATACTCATCAATAAACAGGGATGACTACTGAAATACACAACAGCATAGATGACTCTCACAAATACGTTATGAGGAAGAAATCAGCCTTAAAAGAAATATATTCTGTATGATTCTATTTATATGAAGTTCAAGAACAGGAAAAACTAATCTATTATAATAGAAATCACATCAGTGGCTGCCTGGAAAGGGAGTGGGAGATTTATTGGGAAGAGACCTGAGGTTGTAAATGCTCGATACCTTGATTTGGGTGTGGATTAATAGATCTGTACATTTGTTATAACTTAGCAAACTGTACAGTTAAGATCTATGGTATGTAAATTATATCCCACTAGGGGAAAAACAATCAAGTACAGTCAACCCTCCATGGGATTCAACCAACCTCAGATCAAAAATATTCAGGAAAAATAGTGCATCTGTACTGATTATGTACAAACTTTTTTCCTGTCATTATGCCCTAAACCATACCATATTAATGATTACTTACACAGCATTTATACTGTATTAGGTATTGTACATAAACTAGAGATGATTTAAAGTATACAGGAGGGGCCGAACATAGTGCCTCACATCTGTAATCCCAGCACTTTGGGAGGCCGAGGCGGGTGGATCACCTGAGGTCAGGAGTTTGAGACCAGCCTGGCCAACATGGCAAAACCCCATCTCTACTAAAAATACAAAAAGTGGTCAGGCACGGTGATGGGTGCCTGTAATCCCAACTACTCAGGAGGCTGGGGCAAGAGAATCGCCTGAACCCAGGAGGCGGAGGTTGCTGTGAGCCGAGATCGCACCACTGCATTCCAGCCTGGGTGACAGAGCGAGACTCCGTCTCAAAAAAATAAAAAATAAAAAAGTATACAGGAGGATGTGCATGGGTTATATGCAAATATTAATACTATGCCACTTTATGTCAGGGACTAGAGCATGCTTAGATTTTGGTACCTAAGGGAAGTCATGGAACCAACCTCCCATGGATACTGAGGGACAACTGTACTTTAAATCCATAATAGATTAACCAGAGGTCAACCGACAGCACTTACAAGCCATGAAATAAGTTTTCAAATAGAAAATAATAATCCTACCTGATAGAATCCAAAATAAGAGGCAATCCTGCAAAAATGCATTTACATGACCAAATTTCTAAACTAGCATTGATAAACTTATTTTAAAACAGTAACTTGGGCATCTATGTCAGCGATATAGCTATATTCTATTTTCCCAAGAAATAAAGTTTTCAATTAGCAATAATCATGCCTCAGATAAACCTCATTGGCTATGATACTGCCACTGTAAAAGCTAGAAATAAAGTTTTCATAAACTATATAGCCTAAGAAAAGGCATAATACACTTAAACCAGATTATCAGAAGCACATTAATTTTACTAACCTAACCATGAGATTAAGATGTTAAGGTCCAAGAGGTAATAATATTTTTTAAGACTATATGTCAATAATGCTAGGGTTTATAAAACCTTTGGCTGGTGTCAAACCAAACATGCCAGAACATATAATTTAACAACTGTAGACTGTGACCACCTGGACTGGACTGGAGAGGCGAACCCTGAACACTGGCAACCAGCCTGAAACAAATGTGCTATCCTATACACAGGCTCCATACCTAAACAACATGAGGCAAACATCACAAATCAAGAAAAGAAAAATCCACTTTGAACTGGCTTTATTTCTAATGAGGACTTTGAATTGTTTCTATTTTTCTTGTTCTAGTTCAAATTACAAAGACGCTGTTATAATATGCTAAATCATAATCAGGATGGAGTCATTTTTTGTTCATCAAGATAAATGCCTTTTATGTACCACATGAAACTACTTAAAACATGAATCTCGAAATGATTCAGTCGTGGAGACAACTTCAAGGACCATATATTTTAATAATACAAAGCCACAAGTAACTCAATTACTACTGCTTCTAGAGTACCTAGCCTTGCTCCGAACAATAAATTTTTTAAAAACCACTTTGGGTTTCACATCCATCTAGTTTTATTAGATGCTCTTATACTAAGGTTTCTAGGTTTTCTCAAACTAGCTGACCTCAATGGCCTTTCCATATTAAATTTTAAATAAGACTTTTTTTATTCTATATTCTTATACTGAATAAAAATAATTTAACTAGAATGGAGACCGGATGTTCTAGTTGGTCTAATATTTTGATTAAAACTATGAGGATTTCCAAATTCAGACTTAAAATATAATAAAATACAATTAACATCAAAACTCAAATGGTAAATAATTTAAATTTTTATGCATTTGGATAATAATAATAAATTAGTACTAATCAGGTAAAGTGATAAAATATCAAGGTAACTGATTTCTGGGTGCTAGAATGTCAGATAAATTCATTACAATGATATAAGTTCCCGTGGTTATATCATAAACAACCACTAATCCTGAAGGTTTGATTCAGGAATTTATGTTTTTTTTTTTTTTTAAGTTTTAACCTGTGTTTACCAAGTACCTCATCTGCCAAACCCTTTTACTCACAAAGTACTTCTATCTCATAAGAGAAATAAAACAGAAATGGAAAAGCAATAAGCCCTCCATAGACACTGCTGGGAGATACATAACTTTTTCTCCAGCCACTGCATGTCAAACCAATGGAATGGGTGATTCTAAATCAAAGATTTAGCATGGTACTACAATCACCCAAGGGTGGTCTCCACACCAACTCAAATGCACAAGACAGAGAGAACTCCACAGCAAATTAGGGACATTTTTTTATATGTCCTGATTCAGAATATAAAGAGGGAAGGAAAAATCATATGAGCTATTTTCTACCCAGTGATCCCAAATAATTTTAATGAGTTATTTTTTTTCTTGGTCCTAAGTCTTTTTATTCCTGTCCATCTCTTATTTCTGCTCCACATTTATAGAGCATTTAGATATTTTTGCAAGCTTTAACCGGTATATTTTTACATCATTTCAATGCAGTGGCAAAGCACTGTTGGCCTCATTTAATAGCTGAGAAACAGAAAGGTTAATATCTTAACTCAAGGCCCTTCTTGAAGTCAGTAATAAATTTAAGATTTGAGCTCTGAATTTTAATACGATAATTAGCCAAAGTCTACTGGGCCATGAAGTTTACTAGCAGAAAGCCAACCTAAGAGCTCCTTATTATTTTCTGAGTTGTTCCACATTAATGTAAATATGCAGCATTATACATGTAATTCAAATGAGTTTATCTTGAGGAGTCATTAACAACATTTTTAAAAACTGCTCAGTAGATGTTTCTGTTCATCTTGAAGATGAACTTTCTACAGAACTCCTTGCTACTTGGCAACTTCTAAATGTGTGGCTGCAAACGAAGCATGGTCATCCACTCAAAATGGGTGGAGGGCAGTGTTGGAGGAGCAGATCTGGAACGTGACTGTAACGAAGCTCAAAACATAATCAAATATATAGTGATAGTCTCTGTCAGAATAAACTTTTTTTTTTTTTTTTTTTGAGATGGAGTCTCGCTCTGTTGCCCAGGCTGGAGTGCAGTGGGGTGATCTTGGCTTACTGCAAGCTCCGCCTCCTGGGTTCACGCCATTCTCCTGCCTCAACCTCCCTAGTAGCTGGGACTACAGGCGCCCGCCACCACACCCAGCTAATTTTTTGTATTTTTAGTAGAGATGGGGTTTCACCATGTTACCCAGGATGGTCTCGATCTCCTGACCTTGTGATCTACTCACCTCAGCCTCCCAAAGTGCTGAGATTACAGGCATGAGCCACTGCACCTGGCCAGAAGAAACTATTTTTAACGTGAGGTTTAAAATGGTCCACATTATTAAATCTCCATAAGGGGATAAATAAGAATTAAAAATACCAGGGCCCCCTGTCCTCTAGTTGAGAATCTCTGCGTCAATGAACCACTGTTGTCTGGTGGAGTTTGGCACATCCTCAAGTGCTTGGGGACAGAAAAACACAAGTACCAGAATACAAAAAAATCAGAAATGGGTTATCCAAAGGTCAACTATTCGTCAGAGTTTTCCTAGTACCATGAAAGGTAAGGAGATACTGGATTTCACAGTATGTAATCAATACTCAAATCACTAGAAAGGTATGTTTTGCAGTGGGATGCCAGTTTAATAGGACTTTCCATTATCCCTTTGAAGTAAATTCCCTTTCCTTGTGATTCCCTGCTAACCAAATGATGTTCTGATTACTAATTCTATCACTTGGGTATCTAGATCCTGAGAATGATGTACACTGGATAATGTAAACATAGTCCCTAGAAACACCTGTTACCCCACTGAAAATTAGTTTAAGATCATTATGGTTCATATATTAGTGTTCTGATTTTGGCTAGCCTGAGCTATTTCCCAAAAGTCTGATCAATTCTGAAGGAGCTAACAATAGTTTCTAGACCTGCAAAGCCAAGAAATAGACTGGACAAGCGATGTCTAACCCCCACTGTGATGTCACCTTCATCGCTCACCATCTCAAGCAGGTCCATCTGAATCTCTGTGCCCTGTTCCAGGACCTGCACCATGAGCCTGCATAGAAAACAAAGCATACTTTCTGGATTACCACTGAGTACCTATGTCTTCCTGACATCCAGGCAGTCAACATCTATTAGTCATCCATCAGGTATTTCCATGCTAGCAATGCAAGCTAAAGAATACAGTCTAGAAAAATAAAACATATACACAAATAACATAAAAATCACCGTATTTATGCATAATCAATAACTCATATTCAGTCACATCTCTACTATTTATGAAACTTTTCTCTCTCACACTCCAAGTAACTTACAGCTGAATTTTCCAATTCTTTTGACCACACTACATAGTAAGACTTTTTATCTCACAACCTAGAACTCAAAAGTTTCACAAAACATACAGACTTGCTAGGATCTGCTATTTTCTTCTGTAGTCTAAAAACTAAGCAGTCTTTAGACTGAAACAGACTTTAGGCTTGAATAGCATTTCCTACTCTTGTCTCTAATTTTTCTCTTAAATGCTAATAACGAACTACTAAGTTTATTTCTTGACCAACTAGTTGATCAGCATCCACACCTGAAAAACAAAAATGCTGCTCCAAGGCCTAGAGATGCAGCTCCCCATTGCTACTGTCTTTCTCCTTTCTCCAAAAACCCCACTCCTTGGAAGCACACATCTGCTCACCTTCCTCACTGGGACTATCTAATGACACCTCAGTCACTCCTACTCATTTACAGATGACTTTTTTTACTTGGCCAACTTCGTCTAATACACTAAGATGGAACAGGTGGTTCTAAATCAAAGATTTAGTACGGTACTACAATCACCCCAGAGTGCTGTCGTCACGCTAACTCAAACACACAAGAGTGAGAGAACTTTTTAAAACCTAAATCACCAATCTCTCCACCACAATTTCTGACAATTTTTGATGACATAAACATCCAAATAGAACATCTCAGTTTCCTGAGTTCCAACTACCACTTCCTCCTCCATTGTTTCTCAACTACCCCACTCATGCAGTCTTGTTCTAGTCTTCTTATTCCAGAAAAATTTTTAAAATATGGTGTAGAGCCAATCACCCAGCCAACCTCAGCCTAAATTAGTTGACCCTCAACCAATCTGCAAATCCATAAGAATAAATGATTTTTTTATTAAGCCACTGAGCTTTGGCACACTTTGTTCTGTGGCACTTTTGTGGCAATAGCTAACTAACACATTCGTCGTCTCTATACCTAAGTATAAGTAGTCTAACATGGTTGAAGAAAATCACACAACCATTCTACCTGATATTTATGACTGCAAATCTCAAATGAGCTCCCAATATGGCCTGACAATTCAGCTACACTTCACTAGTAAATTCACCTTCATCCTTTGCAAGACAATGATTTATCAATCTTTAGTTCAAATCTCCAGCATCCCTTTTCCTCATCTTCCTTTTGGCTGATTACTTGCCACAGCCTTCATAATTACATGCAAGCTGATAAAATACCTACCTTTCCACCATCCAAGCCACTAACTTGTATCTGAACACAGTCTGCCTTCTCTCTGGTTAACAAACAGTTTTCCTGCTCCCATCTAAGGTAAACCCCTTCATTTTGTTTTGGATGCCAACCTCTCTCACTTTTGCAATTATACCCTTTGTTTCTTTCTCCCCTTTATCATATCAACTTTCACTTTTCTACTAGGTTATTCTAATTAACATAAAAACATGCTTTAAAATATTACCCATCAAAAAACAAAACGAAACAAACAAACAAACAAAAACACCCTTAAACTCATCATCCCCTTCAGCCGGCACATTCTCTCCCCTTTCACAGCAAAAGGCACTGAAAGAACTGTCGGTACTCTCTGAGTCCACTT